CAGCCTGACCTCAGCAACTCTTGCCTTTTTCCTTTTACATTTTTTTTTCTTTTCATGATGACAGTGGTGAGGCCCTGCCTCCCCTGACTGCACGTCACTGGTTGTGCTTTATATATATGTTCAGCTTCAAAATGTAAAATAAATATGTCATGATTTTTTGTGAAGAAGACTTCAGACATTCCCCAAAAAAACTGACACTGTCTTAGACTTGTGAACAGAATCCTCAACAAGCCTGACAATCGTGGGACATATTTAAATTAAAACCTGAATCCAAAACAATGAATATTAATGGCATTTTTAATAGATGTATTGAGGAAGTTCACAACCATGCATACCAGTTTGAAGGACTATGGGAAATAGCGGGAACTGGGGGCATTCCTGGAGGGCCAATATGGCAGCCTTGACTACTGTGTATGTATATGACACAGGTGAAGTCTTCAATAATATAATTGTAGCTGTCATGTTGACTGTTTTTACTTCTACACCCAATTGACGAATGGCCCTGGTAGGAACTGAATGCCAACTATCCAGGTTAGTATTATGGCAGTCTTTCTTCAACTTGGCAATTTTAAGACATGTAGACTTCAACTCCCAGATTTGCAATCATCAGATGAGAATCACTATTTCTCTGTGGGCCTGTTTATGGGTATACCAGCTATAATACTACATTTACCACTAACCGCTATATAACAGTAAGATTCTCACCTTGCATATCTGTTACAAGCAAGCTGCCATTGGTTTTTTCATACACCCAGTGCTGAAACGTGCAACATTTCTGGCCAGCTTCCGAGTCTCTTCTCATGAAGTTTATTTCCTTCCCATCCTTAACAGAGTATTTCACGAATTCTCCAATGAGTTCCTGTTCCACTGTTGCATAAGGGATGTTATTCTTGGGCCGATGAATAAGGAAAATAGGAATGATTCTGAAAGCAGAGCCAGTAAAAAAGAAACATAGACAGTGAAAACTTATGGTCCCGGGAAGAATTTTAGAAAACGTATTTTGAGGACTTACCAAGTTAAAACGTGGGGTATATTCAGTGCTTTAATGGAGAAAACATGCTTCCCTAACTTCATGTGGCCTAACTACATGGCATCGGACCTGGGTACCTGAGAGACCGCCTCCTGCCGATTCCCTCCCATAGACCGATCAGATCT